ATCAGGGTATGGTTCAAATGCCTTGGGCGAAAGGCTCGGGTTCTGACGTTGGGGGCGGCTGCGTTCATCAAGTGCACTCTGAGCAGGTGTCCTTTAAGCCAAATATGCGGACGCACTATGTTACACGCTGTCTGACTACCTGCTGAAACGGTGAACGAAAATCTCTCCGGAGACCCGTTGACCCTGAAATTGTCTTAAATTTTTGACGTTTTACTGCTTCAAAATGTCTGAAAATAATGATAACTCTTCTTCAAGCACATCGAAAGGTTCAGAGCGAATGCGTTCATCAACTGATGTAGGAACAATTGCAGACAGCGAGGATTCGTCGGGCTCCTCTGCCTGCTATCGGTTTACCCATTATTCGTGTTCTTCCTCTCCTGAAGTACGGAGCAAGCTCGATGGGGTGCGCCAAGGGTCACTTACAGGTAAGGTTCAAATGTTCCACTAACTTCCTTTAGACGTGAGCTATGAACGATCAACTGCATCGCAGCCCATGGTTGCCAACATAGACACTACAATGCTGGGTGTGGATTGGCAACGTCGCATGCTCAGTAAGTGCTGCGGTTAACCATAAATATCTTTTCTCAGCCGCCCTTTCCGACCTGAATGCAGGGCTAACTCTCCTGCAACGATCGACTAGCCGTGTGTATTGTCGGCCCACCTAAAGCATGGCGACATCAAGCACAGTAGTGCGTCCGTCGCAGATGTCGTCCATGGACGAATTTGAACAGTTCGAGCAGAAACTGCAAGATCTTCATTTTTGGCAGCAGGCGGTATGACTTTCAATAGCCAGTAACTATTCTTACAAATACATATAGGTTGCATTCTTACGTATGCAGGGCGGGGCAACACCCTTTATGGTTGTCCGACGAATTATCATCCTCCTCTTCAACAGCCGTCTGCTGGCAAATTTCAATATGCTAGGGTTTTATGGCAGGCGGAACTTTTCAACTACTCGGACATATGCGTTGCTCGAAGGTAGGCATCTAACTGCATTAGGTATCCCTCTTCCATGTAGACGTCTACCGACCGTGGGTTGAAACGCAGGAGTCCACCATCAAGGAGTTCGAGAACGCGGTTCGCTGCATTCTCAAAGCGGCCGTTAGAAGGACCAGTAGGGCCCTCTCTAAACCGATCTCCACTGCTGACATTGTAAATAACCCTCCACCCGCACACGGCCCATGAACATAGGGAACCCCATAGACTTCTTCCGCTATCACTTGTACATGCTTCCTTAACAAGCTTCCACAATATACACGCTTTTTACAGCTGTCTACTTGAACCTAAATGGTCCTGAGGGAGGAGGGGCTCCCATAAGTATTTAGAGCTCACGGCCTGATTTGAACACTTCCACCTTTTGAACAGCAATATTCGTTCATCAGACCGAAGTATCGGCAGCAGTTTTCTAAAATGGGGAGCACAAACATGCGATAGAGTCTTGCTTTAATTTCGGAAAGGCAGACAGTATAAGATGTAAAGCCGCAAATATGAGCAGCCTTGGCCGTAATTCTCTCGACCTGAGGCGAAAGACCTAACTAATTTGTGTAGATTAAACCTAAGTCCTGGGTCGCGGAACATTCAGTCATTGGGTAACCTGGAAAAATAACAGGTTGCGGCAGCCTTTCAGGCCCAAAACACATGTAGCGGCACTTAAAAGGTGAGAAGTCAACCAGCCACGTGGAGCTCCACACAGAAAGAGCGTCCAAGTCCGAATGTATTTGTTCTCAGCATGGCTCGACCGTAGAGTTTGAGAAGGAGTGCACACAGTTGAGATCATCCGCATAAATATAAAATTGAGAGTGTTTAAATGGTTATGAAATATCATTTATGTAAAGCAAGAACAACAGAAAAATGAACAATTGTGAAATGTGAATCACGCAGCAGAGGGATTGCGGGAGTGGGGCTAGTTTCAATGATAAAGAACTTGGCAAAGAAGGAATTTAACAGTTCTTCCTTTTCTTAATCCTCTGTAACGAAATGTTTGCTACTACCGAGTAAAGGAGGAATGACTTTTTGCAGCTTAGCCTACGGCCGAAGACAGAAGACTTGAGCTACAGATCTGGAAGAATTAGCATTAATTAGCGTTAGAGACACCCTACACCTATCTCGTGCAAGCCTAAATTTTAACGTTAATTCAAATATTTAGGCTACCTTTAAGTGAACTGACAAAGAGCTATAAGACGATCATTAAGCTGTTTTCGTAACTTCGGGGAAAATGTGACACAGCAGAAGAAGCTGTACTTGATTTACAAATCTTAAGTCGGATAGAACCCTGGATTTTTTGTAAGGATTTTCAATAGCTCATGGAAAAAGTTTGAATCATTAGTTGAAAATATACTATGCCAATCTAGAGTGCTTTAGAAATTATGCATTAATTCAGAATTCACGCTAGTAAAGTCGAGGTTATTGCACTTTACCTCAGACTTTGTAGAAAAACAAACTAAAGAACAACACTGACTCAGTGCGTAAGCACTTGTGAAGAGATCAGGATGGAAATTCGTAAAGAGAGGGTGGACGTCATTTGTAAAAATTAAATCTAACATGCTCTCGTTTCTAGTCACAGAACTGACCGGTTGTGACAGGTTTGAAAATTTAATGGTAACTACCGATTTCTGCAGTTTTGGCGGAGGTATATTTGCATGCTAGTCAATGTCTCGCAGATTAAATCACCTGCGATTATTTTAACATCAAATGGACTCTCTGCAACTTCTTCAAACAGTTCACAGAGCTCGCTTTAATTGCCAGAATAACACGCAGGATTATAGAAGCAGCCAATTATCGCTTTTTATTGTGTAAGAGGATAACTGAATCAAAGCAAACATTTCCAGAAAACGACGAAATGCTCAGATGAAAGGGGAATGTACAAAACATGACTTAATATAAAGAATACAACCACCGCCACGTTTTTTCGCATGATCTTATCGGCACAAATTAAAATGACCTATAACCAGCGTCGAGTCAGAATTTATAAAAAAAGAAAGGCTTGGTGGTGGGAAAAACTGCATGGTAGAAAAAAAGGGGGGAAGCAAAATTGCTCTGGTCTACAATTTGTCGAGATGTTATTGTTAAATGAACTAAAATTATTCCAGAACGACATATTTGGATGAGCTCTATGGAAAGGACGCCTACATTGCGAGGTGTGAAAAGAGGTGGCCAAGAATATGATTTTGAGGAAAGTTAAAATAATTTTGCGCAAACTACACATAATTAGAAAACTTAATTATTTAGGGATTTTTGGCAGTTCTTGGTTGGGAAAAATTACAACGAGAGCGTTTGCATCTGTTGTAGGGACTAAGGTGTTAGCAAATGTCTCATGGGTAATGAGGTCGCCGATTTTGACAACTGACTTGGCAACTGCCCTAATGGCAATGTTCCGGAACCAAAGGATAGAATGGTTCCAGTGGGAC